TATCTTAATCCATATCAGGATCCATATCAACATCAGGAATGTTATGTTCTTCATCTCCTTCATCATCTCTATTCTCTTCCATTATCTCATCTAATGACCTTACTTCCGAAATAACATTGAATTCAACATCATCCCTACAGTATTGAACAATTGGGTCATCTTTAATTAGCTTATTTTAATCTAATTTAATCATACCTAATCAGTTTCCAAATAATTATACCATGAAAGCACATTACGATCATAAAACACCAATCGGTTTCTAATTCGGCCGCCGATAAGGCCTTCAATGAGCAGTTTAAACATAAGACATGAACAGATCAAACAAACAGTCAACAGATAAAATGCAATTCGAACAGATGTATTCATTCGATTCAGTTTCAATTTCGGTCAGTCAGTTCAGTACTTTTAATCAGTTCAATTATCAGTCATGATCAGTTCAGTTTAACGGTAATCGATGGTTATCGGTAATCAATCAGTCATTAATCGGTAAACAGTATGAGGGTTGTTACAGTAAGTATGATGATGGCTGCTTTCCTGAACCTTGTATTCATCTTGTGAAGCATGTTTTCAGGCTAATTTGGCCTGCATTTGCTTTCCTTTCATCATTAATACCTTAATGATTTCATGGTTTTGGCAATGCAAATTATTGTGTTAACTTGATAGACAATGTCACTCCAAAATCACAATTAAAAGTACAATGATTTCAGAGGTTGCAACAATTAGAGCAAGAGATCAATCCTGTTGCTTGCTTATTAACTTTCACATAATTCATCAATTTGGTTAATACTACTAACCTTTGACTCAAATATATTCTTCATATTGGTTGCTGGTGAGGTGAATCTTGCGGAGACACCTGTTTCCAAGGTTATGACTAGAAATCCAATTTTTGTACTGTTCGACACTCTTGCTGTAGAAGCCTTGCAAAAGATGGTGCTAGGTTAGTATTGATAAAAAAGGCCACAACATATTATTTTTCCAGTGCTCTTTCCTAAATTTTTCACATTGAATATGGTCGTGATATTACCACAGGAAAATTCAGACATTTGCCTATTGTGGAGAGTGGAGAGGTCATTGTTTTGCTTGATATAGCAAAGTGTTTATACGATGCTATTGCCCGCATGGAAAGAGCAGCTGAAAAAGGAAAGGCCATTGCAGTTGCTGTTGAAGGTGTTGAAAAACAATGGGGGGCATCTATTGCTGGTTTGTAGAGAGTGTATATTAAAAAAATTCTCTAGCATACCATCTTGTCTATTGCTGTTTTATTTATTTTTCGCTTGATAAACAGGTCCTAACACATTCATTGAAACACTTCGAGATCGAATGTTTAGGCCCTTTTTGTCTACAATCATTCCTGAGAATTCAAGGTAGGTAATATCTTCTCTGTTTTTTAGTTCCTTACATTGATTTTATTTTGTATATTATGTGGCTATTTTTGATAAAATAAATTTCCCAACATAATAGAAGTGGGATTACCAATTGTGGCATTGTCAGGATTGCAACTGTCTCGCCAACTGACACAGTGTTAATGGCAACAAAGAAGATGGTTGAGTATGGTATGAGCTCTGTTGTTGTAGCAGTTGAAAACAAAACACGAGGAATTTTAACGTGAGCATGTTGTTTATTGAATTGACATTGCAAATTTCTTTTGGGTCCTAAAAAGAAATTATGCAAACATCTACAATTTTTATAAGGTAATGTAAAGCATGAATTCTGATAGGTCCCTGCCAATTTTCTATCAGGTCAAAGGATATCTTGATGTGGGTAATAGCACAAAATCTTCCTCCAGAGTCCACTCCAGTGGAGAAGGTGATTTTCTTGTTGGGATTTTTCCCGCTATCGAAAATTTTACAAGTTTTTGCTTTTCCTATGATCTATAATAAAATAATCTTATGCTTTCCAATTAAATCATAGGTGATGACCCCGTAATGTAAAGCATGAATTCTGATAGGTCCCTGCCAATTTTATATCAAGTCAAAGGATATCTTGATGCAGGTAATAGCACAAAATCTTCCTCCAGAGTCCACTCCAGTGGAGAAGGTGATTTTCTCATTGGGATTTTTCCCGCTATCGAAAATTTTACAAGTTTCTACTTTTCCTATGATCTATAATAAAATAATCTTATGCTTTCCAATTAAATCATAGGTGATGACCCCAAATCCCGAATATGCAACAGTGGATACACCCATTGTTGATGCTCTGCATATCATGTATGATGGAAAATTTCTACACCTTCCTGTTGTTGATAAAGGTATTTTATATTCACAATCACACAAAAAAGGTTGTATAGAAGTTCTTATGATTTTCAATTATAGTTTATGACTAGTATGAATGGTTGAACACAGATGGAGTAGCGGTTGCTGTTGTTGATGTACTTCATATGACTCATGCTGCTATAGCCACAGTAAGTCCTCTATCTTTCTGGGACCATCAATTGTCTTGCATGAGTTTAAGGTATAAAACATAATTGCTATTTTTTACAGATTTTGATAAGTATTAATAGCTAATTCTGCTAGGTAATTAATCATATATAGTATCTAAACTTCAATATTAAAGATTCCTTTTTCAAAATCCTGTATTTCTTTTTAATTAGTGAAGAACAATATGCTGTCACTGTTCCGTGCTGTCTTTAGGTGGGAAGCAATGCCGGGGTTAGTAACGATTCGTCACCCACTATGATGCAAAAATTTTGGGATTCTGCTATGGCATTATCTCCTGATGAGGAGGAAGATGCAAAAAGGTTAAACACCTTTTGCTCTTAAGATGATATTACATTTTTAATTGTGTGTGTTTATTTTACGTACATATTATTTGTCATGTTTCGGTGATAGTTCTTTAAAATTGGCTTCTGAAAGCATTGAGATAACAAGATCACTTCCCTACCCTTCTTCAATTGTGCCTAATACCTTTACTTTCAAAATTCAAGATAAGAAGGGTCGAATGCATAGATTCAATTGTGGTATGCCTCTTCTTCTGCCTGTCACGTTGGCATGCATTCTATAAATGCAGCATAGAATTTGAACCTTTGGATCTCTATTATAACAAACTACTGATAGAACTCATTTTGGCTCAGAAACTACAGATTTATCATTTGTCTTTAATTTAGACTTCCATTATCCACATCTTAAGAATTAACATCTCTTAACTGAATTTCTCTAAACTGGTTTTGGAGTTCAGATACACGGAGTTTGACTGATCTTGTGACTGCAATCCTTCAGAGGGTGGGGGATGAAATTGACCACAACAACTTGCCTCATATTTTGGTATATAATCAATATCTCATTTCTTATTTGGATTCTCAGTTTTTACTTATGAGCTCATGGACAACCACATTTTCAGTATGAAGATGAAGATCATGACAATGTTGTACTTGCGTCAGATAGTGATCTTGCTGCAGCTGTGGACCATGCAAGGTTAGCCGGTTGGAAGGTAAGAATAGTCCTTTCAGTTCTTATTTCACAAGTAAACTGAAGGAATCTAAGTTACCCAAAGCAAATATTTTTTCTCCTTAACCTTCCTTTAAATTTTTTTTAACAGGTATTAAAGTTGCATTTAGATCATTCAGGAACACAAGGTCATAGGAGAGGATCACAATCCGGAGGTGTAGAGTATGCTCAATCAGATGTGTGGGCTTCAGCATACAGTGCTTTAGCTGCAAGGGCTGCACTAATTGCCAGATTAAGCATGTTAGCATACTTGAGAAGGAATGGTAACTGATAATTATTTATACCCTTCTTTCAGTTTATAAAATTGATGTATTGGGAGCAGTAGTAGAAGCAGAACTGAGTTTCTGTGACTGCCAAGGATAAAGCTAAAATTGATCAATGATGCCGGCTGGCAGGTCTCATGCTCAACATTTGTTTTTGTATATTAATATCTCAATAATTTTATCGAGTCAGAACCAACAACATACATCAATTGCATTTGTATTTCTGTGGTTAGTTTTGTATCCATAAAATTATTGTTTATATCTGCAGGGGAATTATTTATTCATTTATTATTTTTTTCTGTTGGTATTCCGTAGTTTACATGATGGGATGGTAGAATTTGTTTGTGAGGAGGATTTGTAGCTCCTGAACTCTAGATTTGTGCATTATTAATGGATAATAGGCAGCATCTGAAATTTTCAATGTTCGTTTTTCTATAGTGAAAGTTGTCAAACATTCATTATTGAACGCAAATATGAAATTAG